CAAACTTAGGTCGTCGTACTCGCAGAGTTAGCGCCATCTGTTGGACATAAAAGCCTTAATTCTAGATGATATCTTTTTATTTATATGAATGTTTAACGGAATAATATACAGCCTATGTCCACCCTGAAGGTCCATTCTAAATATTGGTGAAAGAATTTTTGAAATCGGATGAGTAGTTTCGAAGATTACCTCCTACATCCAAACTTACAAATTTTACCTCTTTATAATATTAGTATAGATAATACCTACTAAAAAAGTAGTAGCTATTGAATGCTTAAATTACTTCAATGTAATAGTCAACTTTCTTTGTTCAGATAAAGTAAAAAATATAGTAATTTTAAAATGTCAAAAAGTGCAGTCAGGTTTATTAGATTAAATGTTTTTTTGAGACTATAATTATTTCATCATCAAATATTTAACTCAAAAATAACTTATTCTAACAGAGAATAATAAATTTGAATATTTGCAGGCATTTAAAATGCTTAGTGCTTGTATCTGTTCACATTTGTTGATTTCTGTTCAAATACATTATTTTTATGAGTTGACAAAGTTTTTTTTGAATATTTTAGAAACAAATTTTTTTAAAATTTAAATGTATATTAAGTTAAACATTTTTAGAAATGTACCAATTAATCATTTGCTAATTTTTAATCATACTAATCAGTTTCTCCACCAAGTAATCATTACATGATGGTTAATTCTTCTGTAATTGGTAAATAAACATTCCATTAGAAAAAGAAAACATAATTTTAATTTAAAAAGTAATAAATTTAATAATTATAAAACTTTTATAAACCTGATTTTTACAAGGTTTGTGGTTGTTTATACTTGTATATATATATATATACATACCATGCCAGGTTAAAGCAATAGCCTGCTGAGTGCTATAGTGGGAGTTACAGGTCCTGAGCATTGAGTCATCCTCAATCAGTGCCACAAGTAACCAGTATGGTTATATCTAAATTAATAGTTCTGAAAGCAAGGATTGGACAGATTTTTTTGAAAAAAGATTTAGTTAATGCAACCAAATGATATATGGGAGTTGTGGATTCAAGTCTAGCACTTCAGGCTATTTTTTTTTTTCAGAACCTTCTAAATCAATTATTAAATTTATCAAGAGATGGTATCTAATACCTATCACTAGGCCAAATTACCTGAAATTTAATTAGAAGTTAGTAGCATTAATATTGCCTTATGTAATCTGACAACTGTTTGGCTCAAAGTTTAAAGAAATGGTTAATAATGATAATTCAGAATAATCATGGCAACATATCCAGTTTTGTTAGAAACTGACTTTTTTGCATCTGTATTTTCAGTCTGAAATTTTTATTTAAATTGAAAGTATTATACAGTGGGTGATTGGTTAACAAACATAATCCGACGTAAAACTTAACACGTGCCCATCTGACAGTCTCGCGAAGACTATAAAAAATTATTTGTCAGAAAGGTAAACAAAAAGCTAGAATTACAAGGGAGAGTTCAAAATTCAGAGGAATACTATCTGATCGGTATCAGGTTGAGCATTGATGTTGATGTCTCCTGTGCTTTGAAAGGTTTCGAATTGTTACCTGAAGACAAGGGAAAATCAATCAATATTCGTTATTTTCCATCGCCTCTTTTTATGTTTGTTGTCCGATCATAAAAATCTTCCGTGAAAGTGTTCATTATCCGATTTGTTCACTATCTGAACTGTTCGTTAACTGATCACCCACTGTATTACTATACTAATAAATTTGGTGTTCCTGTGCACCTGGAAAAGTCAGGGATTTTCATTAATGTTCAAAAAAAGTGGTGGAAAGTCAGAATTTGATAAAAATTGTCAAAGTCAGGGAGTTTGTTTCCTTGATTGCCTTGTTGATTTTTTTTGCTGACAGTATGGCTGACCAAGTGTAGCTGTCTGCAAGCAGCAAGAAGTATTGTGATACAATGCAACTTATGAAAAGGGGTAGCAGAATATTTTCATGATCCAAAATTTAACCCAAACATACACAAAATTTCCCCAAAATTATGGCGCACAAAAATATACAAGCATATATCAATATCAATTGTTGTTTTTAAATTTTAAAATACTTTTTGATTTTAAAACTGCTGTATTAATTATGTAGTATTATAAGTTGAGAGAAAAATACTCTTAATAATCTAATGTTGATAAAAATTTTTTGAAATATTTTAACATAATCTCTCTCAATTTACACTTTCAATTTGAGGACAGGTGTTAATGAACTAATGAAAAAAAATATAACAAAGAACTAAAAATGATAAATAACTTAATATTAATTCAAATGGTATTATTTATCATTTTTCATTTTAATAATTTTGATCACATAACAAAACAGTTTCTGATTTCTGAAACTTTTCCTCAGTTTATTAATATTAATATTTTATAAAGTTTGGAAATTTTATTAATGGACAAATTTAATAAATTTATACTTTTGTACATGGATTATACAGAATTTTTTAATAATAATTAATGGTTTTTTCTTTTTTTTTCAAAGCCCTGAAGTTTTAGTTATGAGTTAATAACAGTATAAATTATTTTTATTTAATAAAACATTTTAGTTTTATATAGAGAAGACATGATAATTCTGTCTTATTTTTTTTTTTTCAATTTTACTAATTCATTGATTATAAAAAATATATAACTGTTAATTAGAAAAAATAAAAATTTAAAAAGTTGTAGAAGCAAGTGAATGTTCTTAGTAAGTCAAGTGATGTTTTATTTTGTTAATGTGCTGTACCATAAGGGACGTGAGGGTCAGGAAAAGTCATGGAATTTAAAAGAAAAATTTGAGTAGGAACCCAATAAATTTTTAGAAATATATATCTATAAGTATGCTTACCAGATGTCCCGCTTTGACTGGGACTGTCCCAGTTTGATAATGTGGTCCCTGTGTCTTGGCCAGTTTGTCATTTTGTTCCGGTTATTTGATAAAATTTTTAAGTGCCAAATATACAAGAAGCAAAAATAGCTCAGTCTCAGGTAAAATGGCAATTTGGCATCTAAAATGTCTCCTCTGTTACACTTACTGTTGTCAATCTAGATATTTTGTATCTAGATCTAAGTACAGGTAATCCCCATATAACATGGCACTTCTATAGCATGGATTCGCTCTAACACAGTTTGAGAATTGGGAACATCCCCCATATAACACGGTGGTTTTATAGCATGGGTTCACTCTAATGTGGTTTGAAAATTGGGTAAAACCCTCATATAACATGAAATGTAATAAAGGGTGCCTTCTTTTATACTTCCGCGTAACTCTGCGCGAGCATTCTAATTGTTTTCCTGGATACTTTGAATACTCTTTCAACAATAATCTATTTAATGGTTAAATTTTACAATTGGAACCCTTCTTTTGCCTCTAAAAGCTCATTTTAGAATTATAGATTCCTCCATCATTCCTAAATGCCTACAAACAGCAGTGCACTCACGTTGCAGAGCAACCGCTATTAACGAACGAATCCAACAACTGTTACCAGTTGATGATGCTCATGCTGAGATCATCATATAGGATGAATAATCCTCTGGTAAAATATTTACATAAATAATAAGTATTTTACCTATGAAAAAAATGAATAGTAAATCCGATTTTAAATAAGGATTTAACAGCATATTTTTTAATTTTTGGAACCTAACCCCTTTTTTCGCACTAGTTCTTTGTTTCTTATAACATGGATTTGCATAACACGGCAATTTTTTGGAACGTAACTCCCGTGTTATAAGGGGGGTTACCTGTACTTTTAATGTTGTCTAGATGTTTCCCTAAAATTTATAGCATATGGTCTAATGAATTTAGATGTTTTATTTTTTCTTCCAGATATTTTTTCACAGAATTTATAATAGCATGAGATCCAGATATTTTTATTTCATTTTTTTAGATATTTTGTTTCAATTAGAGTTGGCAACACAAACTTATTCTGGCCACGTCATTGTTTTTCTTGTCTTTTCTTAGTCAAGTTCAAATTGCTAGTCGGCATTTGCGATTCTTTTTGGCATTTTGGAGATTAAATTAATTTAATGTACAGTGCAAAATAAACAGTTTGTTTACTGATGAATTACAAAAGGATTATCTGTTTTGAAAAAGTTTGTGATCATATTGACAAAATGAAATATGAACTGTGCTTTTTAGAATTTTCAGTAACTCATGGTGGGCATTTGGACATTAAAAATCACTTGAAATGTGCGAAACAGGTATGCCTAGTAGCAGCGGAAGGAACTTCCTCAAATATATTGTCATATTTTAATGTTACTGATTTAAGTGACAAAGAATTTTTAAAGAAAGTTCACACTAATGATAAATATTAATAAGTTCTTAATAATAAGATATTAAAATTTGCTTTTAACTTGTTTTTTGTTAACAACTTCTTTATTTAGCCTTTTCAATCATAGGTACTTATCCTAATAAGTTTTATTTTCTGTTGTGACTATTTTCTCAAAATTGTCCTGGTTTGAGAAAAAAAGTATTGTAAGCCTATATCTATAAGGAATAAGCTTCAATCTCACTCATAGCCAATTATAACATATGATTGATTAATTTTCAATGCCATCTGTTTATTTTTGAATGAAATTTTTCTTTTTTAAACAAGTAGATTGTTATTTCTTATTGTTTTGTTAACTACATCACATTTAAAAGAATGTCTGACGTGGAAGCAATTGTGACAATTGATTGTCCTTGTTTCACAAGGGATGAAATTAAACAAAACAGAACAGCATATAGAATAGTCAAATACAGTTTCAGTATATTTTTTGTTTATATAAAAATTTATGTTCTATAGTTTAAATTGCTGTATCATACATAATACAAAATGCCTAATAATGAATTTATTAGATAGATCAATATGTAAATTTTAAATTTTTATTTAAAACTTACTAATCTTTTAACTAAAAAGTAACTGTAGTAAGTAATTTCTTAAGAAAATTTTTTCCTTCTTTTTATATAAATATTTTAAAGTGATTTTCTAAATTATTAGATAAAATACTAATTTCAAATATTTTTCAGAGGAAAAATGAAGGTGAGAAAAAGAAGTTTTGAAAATTAATGAGGTGACAAGTATAAAAATGTCATCAAATATTATTCCAATGCTTCCATCCACACCACCACCATTAGATACATCAATAGAAAGTGATGATGATGAATTTGGAAATTTTACAGCAGCTTTAGGGGAATTTAGTGATAATTTAAATGGTGTTCAGCAAAGTGATCAATTAGACAAGGAGAGTAAAAATGAGAAAATCAGTTCTGATTATTTTGTGCAATCACAAAATGATGTTAATATTCAAAAGACAGAAATTCATATAAATCATTTTTCAAATTTCTCTAAAGTTGCTGTTGAAAATGAAGAAGAAGAAATTATTCCAGAAATTGAAGGAACTCTACCAGGAAAAACTATTTCATTACAAAATGGAAAATGTGAAAGAATTTCTGCAGAAATATCACTTAATATTCAATCAAGTAAGATTGATAAATATAACTGTAAAGAATATATTCCAATTAGTGACTCAAAATCTTTAAGCAATTCACCTGCCACAATTCAGGAAAGTACCTATTATTCAAAACAAGTTGAAAGTAGAAGTGAAATAGAAAATTTAACTGATGAGGAAACAGTACCTGTAGTAGTGACTTCACTTGAAAGACTTTCTCCAGATTTTGAAATAAACACCGAAGAATTGGCTACAACTGTAGAATGTAAAACTGAAAATTTTCTGGATTCTGAAAATATCAAAAAAAGTGAAATTGAAAGTTCTTTAGGGAAATCAGAATTTGTGATAAAAGATTTTAATGATGAAAATGAAATATTAAAAAACAGGGTAGAACAATCACAATCACAGAATTTATCTGATTTATCTAAAGAGCAAAACACACTTTCATTGCCTATTGTTCCTAAGAGCTCTGAAGAAAAATCATTCCAACAAAAATGTGATAAAGAAAACTTTGAAATTAGTCCAATTTCTATTAGTGAAAAATTTGTTTCAGCATCAGATGCCAGTAGTGAAGTATCCAATTTCGAAACTGCTAAGTCATCTCCTACAACTTCGAGTATTTGTGATAAACATCAAACAATCGAAAATAGTGAAAATCATAAAATTGATAATTCATTTGATCAAGAAGTAAATAGAGATTTGATTGACGAAAAGTTTTATGACTATGAATCGTCACCGATAAATAAAGGTGATGTTCTATTACAAGAAAATTCTGAATGTATAGATGATGATTTTGCCAACTTTCAGCAAGCAGAAGAAGAAAGTCAAATCTCATCACACGAGAGAGAAATTGAACCACTTGAATTAAATCCTCCTGATTCGACAGAAGATAGTTGTCCTATTAGTGATCCTATTGGTGATTCAGATGATTTTGCAGATTTTACACAAGCAACTGCAGAAGAAAATGATTTTGCTGATTTTGAAGGTGCTTCCTGGTCACAATGTCAAGATGACTTTGCAGATTTTGAACATGCATCATTTGTGAAAGACAATACAGTAAAGGAAGAAATTTGTGAATCAGAAAATTTTGAGGCTGATTCTTCTAATCTTGTAAGTGTTGTTTTGAAAGTTATTTTAATTTTATTAATTTTAAATGTTTTTTTACTTTTTTTACACAAATTATTTATTATGAAAAATGCTCAATAATTTTTATAATTTTTCTAATGCTATTCATCAACATTTGTAATTGAATGATGCTTATATTTTATTGTTGTCTGTCTAGTAAAAGAACTTATTAATTACCATAAAACATAATAGTCATGGATGATATCAAAATGATTAGCAAATCATTTACTAATTTTTATATGTATATGTATTTCTATATTATTAATACTCTATCATTATTAGAGATAGAACTAGGGTTTCTCAAATGGGATCACGGTTTTTTTTAACCTGGGAAATTCTTCTCATCCTGGGAAATCCTGCAAATTTCTTAAAAGTTCACTTTCTTCTTATTCTGTGTTAAGGTTGAGGAAATTTTGCAAATAGAAAGTATAATTAACTCATAAACTGTCAGAATACATTTGTATTTATTAATTTTAAACCTACTTAGTTTTTTAAATTTTTGCTCATGTCACAAATGGTCAATAATTAATATGTAGCTTATTTGTGGCAGGACTCTGAAAATTCTTTACTTGTCAGAACCTGTAATATCTGAAATAATTGTGCTTATGCTGTCTTAATTTTTAACCGTGCACAGTACCTTCAATATCTGCATAATGCCAGGTTAGGCAAATTGGGCAAAGATACAAATGAGTATGAAGTCTGCAAGTATGAAGTTTTTTCATAAACCTGATTATTAAAGACAAATGAACTACCAAATTATTGGGCTATAAGCTTGATGTTTCTATTAAAGCAGTTGAGGTAGACAAATCAAAAATACTAGAGAGTAAAAGAAGTACTACAATCTTGAAAACAAACTAGAAATTTTCCAGGCTAAAGTGAAAAAACATATAACATCTGTCTTTTTTAAATGCATTAAACATGATTCCACTCACATCAATTGAATCAGAAAGGGCATTCTCGGTAGCAGGACTTTTCATTACTAAAATAAGAATCAGATAGAGTGATCAGAGTATTGACCAATTGACCATCTTTGCTTTTTAAAATCTTAATACAAAATATTATTGTAAATTTTTATAATATGTTTTATTTAAAAAACAAAAATTACCTTTTAAGTTAGAAGTTTGATCTAAGTTCATTTTTTTGTTTTAATTTTCAACTCAATTTAAAGTATTTTTGTCGTTGTTGTTGTTGTATGCAGTTTCCAGCAAACTTTAATAATTTTTATTTATTTGTGAAAATTTCTATGTAATTCAAAGGTAATTTTTATATATCTTACACATCATTATTAATATGATTTTGGAGGTTGCAGAACATATTAAATTACTCTAAAAAATGAAAAATAATTATATCATTTGATTTCAAGATATTTTGCATATCTTAAAAATAATTAATTCTATCCTGGGAAACAGTTCACTGTTTTCTCGAAATCCAAGGACAAGCAAAAGACCAGGAAATGAGAAACCCTAGATAGAACTAATAAAGGTTTATTTTCATTAGTATTTCCTAAGAATAAAATAAATTGTTAGATGCATTTAAAAATCTTTTCAAATGCAAGAAATATTTACATTTTTTTTAATAAGAGTGAGCTTTTTTCTATTTTATAAATTTTGTTTCTATATAATTAGTACTTCTATAAATATTCCACATATTAAATAATATTTTATAATGAATTTTCACATCTATAAAAATAAAGTTGCTATAAATGCTTCAGAAAATATTCATTTTAAAAGTTATTTATATAAAAATTTGATACATTAATCTAAAATTTATTCTTAATTTCCCCAAAGATGAGTCAGAAAGCTTGAAAGTTAAGATTAATTCCTGTCACGTTATATAAAATGAAATAATTTGACATGAATTAAATTATACAGAAATTTTAATAGCTGAAATGCATAAGAAACTACCTGGATGATTTATGCATGTTTTCAACATGCATATGTACGTGAAAGATTGGGTAATCTGATCCTTTGTAGAATTTATAGGATGAGAAAAGAGGTCATCATAGATGGATTTAGGTCATCTTGTTGTGAGCCAACCCTAACTAAGTCATGATTTAAAATATTCCAAAAGTTGTTTGGAATATTTTATGTCTCTGATTATGAGTCAGGAAAGCTTGATTGCCTTTGCAAAAATGCACAAGGAGAGAAATTCAGACCTGTTGTTGAGAAGTGTCAGGCACCTACATGTTTATTAGAAAGAGAACTGCAAAAATATATTACTTCAAACTCATCAAACTATAATTTCTTAGTCATCTACTCAAGAGTCACTGATAGAGAATATATCTAATATCAACCTTATGGAAGAGGAAACAGCTACCACTTTTGACTATGAAAGCCTATACTCTTCCATTAAACTTGATCCTTGTGTATGACCTTAAAGGAATTTCTTACGTGGTCTTTCTCCTCTGTCTCTCTCTCTGTCTCCCCCCAACTCCATAAACTTCACAAAAGATATAGAAGAAATGACAAATCTTGTTTGCTATTTTTTATTCTTCATGTTTAAGGGAAAGATATAGAGATAAAGAAGAGGAATACTGATGGGCAGCCTTTTAGCTAGAATCTTGTGCAAGTTAGTACTAAGACAGCTGGAAACATCTATCTTATCAAACTTTATCAATTTTGTTATTTTATATAAGAGGTACTGTACAGTACATTGACAATATGTTAGTTTTATGGAAAAATGATGATAAAAATTCATACAGTCTGCATCTGAAATTAGAACAATAGAGCAGTACATACATCAGTCCATTTTCTTGACATTACATTATCAAGAGCAAATCTACACCAATGTTTATATCAAACCAACTACTCACCATTTATACATTCTGCCTCCTCATTTAATCTGCTCTATTACAAACTATCAGCATTCAGAGCTTTGATTAAACATACCCATGTTCATTGCACATCCATTTGAGACAGATATAATTCAAATTTAAAAAATAGAAACATCATTGGGTTACAAGAAATTAATTCTCAGTCTCATCAATACTATCATGTAAGCAAATAAAGTATCATCAAGCAGTAAAAGATTTACTAAATTTATGTTCTCATCTCCTTTTTGAAGTCAGTCATCAATGAATTGGCTAGAACAGCAGTTCCCAACTTATTTTAATAAAAATCTTACATCATCATCTAATGTTTGCTGGAAAAATCATTTATTAAACAAGCATTTTTAACCTATTATCATACACCATCTTCAGGTTTTTAAATTTGATAATAAATCTTTACAAAAATGGAATATTCATATATTCAAATTTACATTTAAATTTGTAAAATTCCAATTACAAATTTAAACTCATACAAATAAAATAAACGAATGATTAAGGAAAATTAAATAAAAAATATTAGATAAAATTTTTAAAGAAATATAATATAATTTAAAAATAAAAGTAAATTGAAATGTGATTGCAAGATCATATATGACTTGGGTTTTTCTGCCCCAATTTCTTTTCTATTATGTATTTTCATGCTGAGGGCAATGTGTTTACATCCTTGGCATTCAGATTTGATCATTAATTTTGCTCTTACATATTTCTACTTTTTACATGTTTTTTGCAAAAGATGGAGAGCATACTGTTTTTACAATGTTCACTTTGATTGATTATCGAATTTAAAAACCTGAAGATGGCTTATGATAGTAGGTTGAAAATGTTTGTTTAATAAACAGTTTTAATTGTAGAACTCTTTTTGCCTTGATAAAAAGTTTTGAAACCTGACAATTTTTACTGATTACAAATAAAACAACAAATGAAAAAACTGAAAATAATTTATTTAACATACAAAAAAATATAATAATGGAAAAGCAAATAATAATAATTCAAATTAGTAATTAATGGAAAGGATTCATTTTTTTGCATATGATTTCATCAACTGATGTGGTGGGAACTCCACTAGCAGGAGAACTGAATGCACTTGATTTTTTTTGTGAATTGCTAAATGAGCACTTTAAGTATTTAAATATTGTTGGAGATGGAGTTCATTTCTTTAAATGGATTGAACTCCATCTCCAACAATGGAATGAACACTTTAGTTGGATAAGAAAGAATTGAATACATAGTTTGATTCTCAAACCATTAGACTCAATGGATTTATTTTCCAAAATGTGAGTTGTGCATAGGTTTTTTTTATTCCTAATTTTTCATATATATTTTAAATTATTAATTAAACCTCTAAAACTAATTTTATTGTGCAACTTCAAATTTTATTGGCAGAACCATAGGGTTCCATGAAACACAAGTTTGGAACCACTGGACTAGAACAAATAAGTCAAGAATAGTTTATAAAAAGAACCCAACTATTTATAGAATTCTAATAAATGATAGTCCCAAAAAATGTACAGAACTGTTATCTACAGAATCCCTACTAAGTTGGATAATATAGGGCTGCAAACAGCATACATTGGATATCAGCAGAAACTTAGAATAGAGATTCCATGAACATAAATATGATGCCCAGAATAAATGTAGCTACAGTTATAGCATGGGTTTTGTCATCCAAGACAAATAGGACATACAGGATAATTACATAAACTGTCATATAGGATTATTTGTGACCACAGCATCTTTTCTAATAGTTAATTAAAGGACCTGAAGGGAACTCTCCTTGTGTATGTGTTACATACACTTGACATTACTTGTCAACAATTACCATATACTTGACAACAGAATTAGTTCTCAAATTTTAGTAGTAATTCATTTAGGAAATTTGGTATTTTAACTCAAAAAATCCAATTACATTTGGCTTATATAAAGTTTATGCATATTTAATAAGATATATTGATTTTTCTGTAGTTATTACTATAGTTTTATTAGAAAACTTTATTTTATAATAAACCATATTAATTAGTTATTTGTTAAAAAATTATAATTGTTGAATAGCTGTAAATTAAAAATAATAATTTTGATTCATTAAATAAAATTTTTTTTTAATGTAATTTTTATATTTTTGATACATGCTATAGCAAAACTCTTGCATTTGGTATTAGTAACATTTATAAAAGTATTAATATTTATAATTATTATNAGATTTGATTTCTTGAATTCTTTTATAAAAATATTTATTGGTTTTATAAGAAATTAGGTACAAGATTTCTGTTAGAATTGATATAGTGCATTGATTATTGTTATATTATTTGAATTTTCTTTATAAAAAAGTAAATTCATTTTGTAGTTATATGTTATTAAATATATTATTATTAATTTAGGTAACAGAAAGAGCAAAAAATAAAATTACGCTTTTGATACATAGCACTTTTCCAATTATTCAAATTGAAACAAAATTAGATACTGATGAAACATCCCCCTTTATCAATGAAATAAATCATACTAGTATGCTGTTAAAAGGTCGATCAAGGAGGTAAGAGTACTTAATCTATATTATTATTATATAAATATTGAAAATGATTAAGATCATAGACTAAATGTAAATATAATAGAATATAAATAAATATATAGTCAAACTTTGATTTAGTACACTCTTTTTGTTCGTTTTTGGAACTGGTGCTAAATTGAGTGTGATGATAAAGTGAAGTATCTCAAACAGTAAGAACTTCATATAATAACAGGATCTATACATAAGTTTAAGTTTGAGAGTTGTGATTTAGTGATGATCAGCAGATGAGCCTGGCATTGCCCTGGCAAAAAACAACAACAAAGAATTTTGGATGACACTATGTATTCCCAAAAGATATCATAAATGAAGGAGTTGTTCATCCTAACAAGAGTTGTGGATATATACAGTATGCTTCAATGTGCATTAACTATTGACTTCTATTGATGTTTTTAATCTTTGAAGAATCTATTATTTACAAAAAGCATCATTTTAATATGGCTGCATGCTATAATGCCAGAAGTTTTTATTTTCTTAAAAGGAATTTCGATGTAAATGCAAAAACTTGTAGATTTAATTTCAATCAATTCTGCAACATGTATATTTTTCGAAAAAAAAAATAGATTTTATTGTGGAATTTTTATGGGAGTTTCAAAAAAATATAATGGAGGTGTTTGATCTCAAAAATTTTTCTATGAGTGAAAAATATTTTTTATCATTTATTATATGAAGCAATTTTATGTTAAGAAATAGCCTTCTTCTCAAAAACTGGATTAATGACTAAGTACTGTACACCGAACAAATTTTAGAATGTTTGATGTAATTACATTCTAATTTTAGAATGATGTTGATCTGAAGCCGATCTTGTGTAAGATTGAAAAAGTTTGTCAATTATTAACAAACATTAAAATTATTTACTGGATTATAAAGGTTTTATTTGGTGTACTTAATTTTACATTAGTTTCATCTAAATCAGATAAGTATTTCTATATGAAACTGTAAAAATACTACTTGACATGTTTAACTTAAAGACTAATTTCACCCCTAAAAATGTTTATTTGCCAATGAAAAAGAATGTATCTCTCTTACATATTATATAATATCAAAAACTAGCAATCATCAGAATCGGAGAGGGACACTTGGGTGATGTTCCTTACCATTATAAATGTTAAGATTATGATATCTTGATTTTATCCAAAATATATAAAAGTACAAACTAAAATGGGAATTCTACATGAATTGAAAATAAACTATATTGTGTTATCCGATTTTTTTCTGTTTGTGTTTCCAGCTTTATGTAATATTGACTATTTAAAGAAGTTTTAAATTTGTATTTTTAATATTTGTTGTTCACTAATTCTGTTTATCACAAAGTTTGTGCACTTGTTTATAACGTTACCCGCATCGTGGATTGTATCCAGCGTGCTATAAAAATAAGTAAATAAAAAAAAATACATTGGTCTCAGACAACGTTGTAAAAATAGGATTACTTTCATTTATTTACTTTTGATCATGCAAACCTCGTTTCACTTTTTCATAGCCCATACGTAGTATGGCTATGTATTATGATGATTGTGTTGCAATTGTTTTGTTCCTTCTTAACGTTATTTGAGCAATAATAAAGAAAAATTAAATGTTGCAGTATTTTATAGTTTTACTTTAATTTTAAAAGTCAACAGAGTTCTAAACATCATTTTTAGAGACTATTTTACAGAATAATAAGTTGCAAAAACTACAGAAAATAAATTATAAAATAAAGTTTTCAGATCTGTTCGAGTATTTAATTTACACGTAGCTGTGTTGTGGTGGAGATACATAAACTCGTTGCACTTGATAGACTTACGTTTCGTCTTGTTCTGTGTTCTCTTTGTATTTTTTGTATTTTAGGTTTCACGTTCAGTNCGTTTACAATCGTTCTATAATCAAACCAATATGCAATAACAAATTCAAATTTAAAATGGTTTGAACATTTGGTTAAAAAATCGAAATATATAAAAATATTTATAACAATGTCTGAAATGTTATCAATTTAATACAGCTAAGTACTCAATGAAGACTAAATTTAGTTGAAAACAAAAAATCACATCTAAAATAGTACAGTAGAAGCCATTCTTCAGGTTAATCCTCTCCCTCTCCCCAGCAGGGGGATTTTGAAAAATCCCTTCTTAGTATGCATTTTCATGACACCCTAACTGTGTACCAATTTCACCTCTAGGTTCAGTGGTTTGCTCTGGGCAATGATGAATCAATCAGTCAGTCAGTCAGGACAAGTAATTTTATATATTTAGATTTAATAAAATGTTATATGTGGTACTGTACATTCAGAAAGTTTGTGGAAAAGATTTTTATCACCTTTATTGATTCTATATACATTTAGATAGCATTACTCTCAAACTATTCATCTTCTGAAGTAACACACTTCATTCAGTGGTCATATAATTTTTTGAAAACATCCTGCAACCTTTAGGTCTGTTCCAAGAGATAGAGGGGCAACCCATTCTCTTTGTATTCCACAGACTGTCTCCCATCCATAAACAGCTAGTGCCATTTGTTTACAGCAGTTTTCCTAATAGCTTGTCTGCAGCTTAAGAGCTTAATCTGCAGAAAACATTTCCAGAGTCTGTTGAGGTGTCTTCTTCAAAAGGACACAAAATTTGATGTTTGTTCTTCATTAGATTTTGGACATTTTTACATTAAACCTTATTCCCAAATCTGACTTTTACCATGTCACAAAATACATGCATAGATATGTTGCAAACTGATTGTGATATCACCATCTCATGTTCTGTAACTCAGTACATACAGGTAGGCCTCCTACAATGCGGTAGATACGTTCCTTGAAAATACCACGTTGTCGGAAATTGTGTTATAGGAGACGCCAACTTAATACAAAAACTGGGATTCGATTCTAAAAAAGAAAAAAACATTTGAATGGCATTTTTTGAATTTTTCAAACCAGCCATTGCTAGCTACAAATTTAACACTGGTTTCATCAGCTGACAACTGTCCCATTTGTTTTAAATAATCAAATATTTTTAAGGCTTTGTGTTTAAGTGCAGTTTTATTTAAAGGCAACCGTTTCTTGTTCATATCTTCTACCCATAATATGCTTGTTCCATTTTTTCCATTATAGGTGCTCTTGGACGTGCAACATTTTTCACAAGAATAGATGATCCGAATGTGACTGAATTCCTAATCTTTTCTTTTGATTGCTTAATCAACCGAATAGTCAACTCATTTAAATTAAAATGCCTACCAATATCAGCTATCCGCTCTTGATTTTTAATTCAATCCAAAATTTCTATCTTTGTTTGAAGAGATGTAAATTTCCTTTTTAACGACGGTACTTTCATTTCATTTGGCATTGTTAAAATTTTTTCAATCAGTTTTGTGGACAGTAAAAATCACAAAAAATAACTTTCCTTCAGTATGTTGTTAAAAATGTACACCCAATAGAAGTTTATACTGTATTTTGGACCATTTTTGAGGTCCACACCTATTGAAAGAGTATAAATGATCGAAAATTTAGTGATATATTTGAGTGTTTACGGTAACTGATGCACATCTGTCTAGAAACCTGTCTTCCCCTAAAACGTTCATGGGAACGACATGTCAATGTTGACAAACAGCTGTTTTCAAGGACATTTAGCTCTGTACAGTACACTGAACTGCAGCTCGTATCATGTGATCCGTTGTGATTTTTCTGTTATGTGAAAGATAGTTTGTTTCTAAATACCGTAAACCGCATTGTAAGAGAATTCCCGCAATTTTCCAACCGCGTTGGAGCAAAAATGCGTTGTAACGGTACCACGTTGTAAGAGGGCCTACCTGTAGTTGTCAGTTATTTTAAAAAATCTGAGTCATTCTCACTCCATCTACACACATTACAGACAATTTTACAAACTTTTTGAACATACCGTATATAACTTAATACATAATAATTTACCAACTTAGAGTTAGTTTGTTTATTTGTGTCAGTGCCAATTACAGAACTCTAAATGTGATGTACTTTCATTAATGTGGCAATTAATTATTATGATTATATTTTAACTTTATATATATCAATTTCTATTTTGATTCTGAATACTATAAATAACAACAGAATCACACTGTTAAATGTAAGTTTTGTGTTTGAATCCTTCTTTGGCAGAAGTTTTTTCAAATATAACAAATTTTAATTAAATGGATTCTCATTTATTTATCATTAATTAAAATTTTAGAAGATAAATTATTTAATGATTAAATCACTTAGTTAGTTCAGTCATAATCTGGTGATTTTTCAACAATTAATGAAATTTGTAAAATATCTTTTGAATTTTAAAAACAAAATTTTATTTATTGCAGAGTAATTTATTTACTAAATATTACATTTATATTATTTTAAGAATAACAAATTGTTTATTATTGGATTTTGTACTGAAATAACTTTAGATTATTATTTATTACTTTGTATTTATTTATCAACTTCTACATTTTTTAATGTGCTAATTTATAATTATTTATGTTTAGTTTTTTATTCTTAAACTAAAATTTGAAAATATTCACTTTAAAGTTTGTATTACTTCTGGATAAAACATTTTATTTAATAATTACGTACATAATCTCTCTCTGCATGTACAGTATATACCTCTTTTTTAAGCCATGAATAGAAATAGACAGTTATTGGAAATTGATTGATTGTTAGTTTATTAAATTTGTACAGAATGAAAATATGTTAATTTTATTGTTAAATATAGAAATATTTTATAATAAGTATAAACATCCTACATAAATTAATCTGAACTTAATAATGGATAAAATTAATTTACATCAGATTAGATATTGTTATCACATCATTAAGTATAGAACATTAAGTATAGAATCTTATAATTACTGATAAATGAAAGTGAATTTGTTAAATGCAGAAAATGAAATGGAGTTATCAAAACTAATGTAACGAATGCTTCATGCACTATTTTAACAATTGCACTCATATTTATATTGCAATTTGTAATAATTTTTTAAACAATATTAATTTTGTTTTTTTGCATGTGCTTGCACGCACACACAAAGCAAAAATAAATTAAAAAAACTAAAAATAATAATTTAGAAACTTAATAAAGGATAGTCAATGGTAATGCAAAATGTAAATGCTATTATTTAAAATAATGTAAAGCAAATTGATAAAAAAAGAATTAAAAATAGTTAGGGAAGCTTAAATTAATCATCCAATGAATAGTGTAACAATTTACATGTCAAGGCTTGAATTTCCGTGTCTTGTAGAGCCATATTTGAATTTATTCAGATTTTTTTTGGTAATATACTCAATGTCCTCCCTTTCAAATGCACCATTTTATTTTTTTGTAAGAAATCTGCTTTTACTTAGACATTTCATGTGAGTGAGTGAGTGAGTCAGTCAGTCATTCATTCAGTCAATCATTGAGTGAGATCAACATAGCTTTATTATATAAATAATTTATACATGCTTTATTTACCAGAAAATCAAGTAAAATACACAAAGTTTCATATTTTTTTAAAAAAATTGTTACTATTTTAAAATATGTGAATTATTTTATAAAATAAATGGAAGGTAGTAAATTATAATGGATTTAAATAAAGAATATTTTATCAGGTTGGCATTGACATGTGAATTTTTACTTATAATTGAGGGGCTGAGTGGAAAAGCAGCATATTCTACAAAACTACAAGAAATGAGTTACTAACAAATTTGGATTTAGGCACCATTGATCCGTCTTCTAAGAAACTTTCACAGATCAGGTTGTATATCCACATTAATAAAGCACTACACATTACAATGAAACACGAATTCTTCTTATTCTTGTAAACTTCCTAATGCGAGATATGCTGTTTTTCACTCAGCCCCTCAATTGTTAGTATTAGTCCAATATAAAAGGTTGTGTATGATGCATCCTGTATGACTATTGCAATGTTCAACAGAGAATGCCATAAATTTTCTTTACATTTTATTTTAATATTACTTATAGATAAAATATATTTGGATTTTATTAATTTGCTGCCAGAAATATATTTGGATTTTATTAATTTGCCAGAAGCATTTTCTACAGACATTGAATCAGAAAAATCCAAAACAATTGCATAAAAAAAATAACTTTACACAACTGTTTTGTTATAATAAAGAAATTCAGTAAAAAAATAATTGTTTGAATGTATTTTATAGATTTTTATTTTATACAAATATTTTAATATATTGTTAGTCTAAAAATGTAATTATTTTAAATTATCACAATTTAGTTGCGCAATCCATCCGTCCCCATCTATGCCTCAAGTCTTGGTCTTTTAGAACCAACCAAAGGTCCTGCACAATCTCCAAAGCAACAATTAGCTGAAAGGAAACATATCTCATCTCAAGTAAGCAAAAAGAGTAATTAAAATTATTTTTTTGTTTATTAAAAACAAATTGTAAAATAAAAATTTTATTAAATTCTCAATATTTTTTTTTTCTTAGGAATCTGTACCTCCAGTACATTTTGACTGGAGTGACAGTGGACTGGTTAATCCTTTAGATACAACACAAATCCATAATTTATTTGATCTTGATTTTTTTGTTACTCAGGATAATTCATTATCAAGTACTACAGATAATTCAACTTCCAGTAAGTAAAACAAAAATATTAATTTGTTTTTATTTTTAAAACAACTTAATTATTTAATTAGAAATTTTAAAATATTTTTAATATTTATATGTCCAGAAAGTCTAGCCAATTCTCCATGAACTACAAAATTAAATCTTGTACACTTTTAATGGCTATCATTAGAAAAATATGAAACTTTAAAAATTTTGTATTGGAGAGTGCAAATCAAGATAAGAACATTTTGAATTAACTGGTTATATGATATGTACAAATATAAAGGAAACACATCTGGAGTTAAAAAGATTTCCTCTACTAAAATATATTTAATTAATGGAGTATTTTCAACCTCTCTTAATAGATCATCTTCAATTAGAACAGGAAATAAATTAACTGAACAACATAAATAAAATAAATACAAATTTTTAAACGTAATGTAAACTAATAAGAAAAATAACAAAAGTAATAACATACAAATATAAAGAATAACGAAAAATAAAGTAAAAATAACGTAAAATTAATTTATTTATTTTAGTTTATAATTACTACTTACGTTATGCATATGTGGTGATTAAAAATAAAATTCTGTTTTAGGGAAAATCTAACAATAACTACAATACAGCATTTAATACTACTAACATTTATTTATTTTTTTTCTTTTTAAAGGTACATATTTATATTGTAGTATTTTATAATATTTCCAAATTTTTTGTATACCTTAATTTGCACTTCCCTTCTTACTTTGAATTTGGTGTCAGTTGCTAAATTGTGCCCTTTTTGTAACCATGTTTATTTTTTCCTTTCAAATTATTATTAATAATGCTTCGTTGTTTCTTGAGAAACATGTTATGAGGACAAAAATATTACCAGATAGTTTTGTCTATTCATTCAAAGATGGATTCCGATAAAAGGGAGACAGTCCCACTCTCCCCTTTTTTTCTTTTCATGTCAGTTCCAATTGGCTGTAGCAGAAGCTTAATTATATTTTTTTTTAGTTAGTTGAATAAGAGTGATTAAAAATAGAATTACTATGGTTAATTGATATTTTTTTAAAAAAATACAAGTTAACTTTTAGTAGTAGTAGTGTTTTTAACACATTAAATTCGAATTTGAAATGCATGTTCCTCATATAATGATTAGAATTAGTTTTAGATATTATTTGTATTACTGAATTATTCAGCAAATCAACTACAAAAGAAATAAATATTGTTTAAACAATTCCTATAACAACTGATATTGCCATTATTATTAATAATGATTTTTCTTTATATAGAACTGGAAGATGAATTATTGGGACCGTCCACTGTCCATTCTCAAAATGGCGATAATACTTCTCCACTGATTAAGCAAATTCTAGCTAGCACTAAGTCAACGATCTGTCCTTCGTTGCAAAAACAGTGTACACGTCCACCTGATTTAAGTGACGAAGTTATTAGAGTACTGGATAAGTTACCAGATTTGTCTTTCATGCAGGCAAAAGTGTTGATGTTTCCCGTTCACAATCTTTCTGATCACTGAGAAACAATGTATAGAAGAAAATGTAGTAGACAATTCAACTCTTAATTTATCTGTCTGTCTTATATATATATATGTGCAAATTTTTTAAAGGTCTGGTTCAGATTTTATATTTTTGATTGCTCTGTTATTTTATGCTTCTTAATTTATGCACTAATTTAAAATTCAATTTACATTTTTGAAAATTTCAATTTTGGTTATATTAGTTACCTTATACTGTTAGTTGTTGTTTTATTATTATTATTATTATATATTTGTTTGTTCCTAAATGATAATTTCTGGGAAAATAGAATTGTCAGAATATAACCAAGTGCCCATAATGTGTACAGTTGCATATTATTATGGGTTAAACAAATGCTAATTTTTCAAATATTTACTCCAGAAATTTGGTTGTCTGAACACAGCCTAGAAATAATCAAACAAATCCAATTTGGACAATTTTAAATCACTTCTACATGTAATTTATTATAATTGCAAACAAAGATGCAGTTCTAAATTTTGCTCAATTTGAAAAAACATGCCATTTAGTTTTTCTGCATGCAGTATAAAATCTAAAAATATTAATATGTAATTTTGAGATATAATTATGATATTATATATAAAGGGAACAATTTAGGGATATATTTTTAACTTTACAGATTAATTAATAACAGGATTGTTTTTAAAAAAATGACAAAAATAAAATTATTCTTCAAAATGCAGAAATAGATTGCTTAATGCACATTTTGTGTTTATTAATAATCAAGTTTACATTAATACACAGTATATTTTTTTTTTCTTTGTAAATGATAACATTCCAATCACATGTTGCAAATAAAAAGTTGCAATCATTACCTAGTGGTTTTTGCAATAAGCTTTTGTAGAAAAAACATCTGCCAAAACTTCTGTAGAAGTTACAAAAACAATTTAATAGATTAGGATAAAGATGAATTCATTGTATTTACACTCACATTACAATAAATTTCAAATGGCTGTGTATAGAATACAGTGAATTAGAAACTCTTTTCCATTATCATATGTATAAAGTCAAAAGATTATATATAAATACATATATATATATATTATAAAGAAAGTTATATATATTGCTGTTTACAGGAAAAAAAAGAGCATATATCCCCACTAGTGTTTACACTGAGTGGTATTATGTACTTATATTTAGTGATAATTTTATCATTGAACGTGGTGGCAGTTGTTTAGAGAGAAGATTTATGCAAACTCTCGTAATTTGGAAAGTCGGGATTGACGTAGTTGCCACAGTTCGACAGATAAGTATAATTTAAGAAAATTTATTTTAACAGGAATACAAAAATAAGAAGGAACTAAAATGTAAGTTCTGAAATGTGATTTGTACAATATTTTGAATTATGTTATGTAGAATATTCAGTAGTTTGTCCCAATATTGCTGTAAATACAAAAGAAAAATATTGTATTGATTTTTAAGAGTATAGAAGTTTTTCTTTTGAAAAGGAATAAAATTCAATTGATTTTTACTGTTGTGTAAGTTTTATCAACTTCATAGATAATTTCAGAATACACAGCACTCTTGATGAATCAAACTAATGAATGCTAAGGAAATTTAAATTACCAAAATTTTATTACAAATTCACATTTTTAACCAATACAAATTCTTAAGTTGAAAATGTCAGTTTTGCTTAAAATCTACCCCAAGTTAGTTATAGAATAATGCCATTTGAAAAATAATAATTGGGCTTTTGAAGGGGTGGGATTGGTGAGGTTGAGTTAGGAGAGGGTGATAAAACAATGGCCTTAGTAACTAAAATGTACATTTATTGACCTCAGTATTTACAATAACAAAACTGCAAAATGGAAAAAAATTACTTGGGCTAAAGTTAATGGGTGTGATGCCGACATGTTTGTCCAATAGACATAACTTACATTTGCCACTTTGCTACACCAAAACCATGGCACCTTTCTCAAATGTCTCTTCAGTGGCATCATCTACAGCAGGAATGGGCAACCCGCCGCCCGCATTAATATTTTTTGCAGCACATGTCGCATAAAATATAAATTTCCCAGCTTAAGGAAGTATGCAGCAAAAATTCAAATTTTATTTCTACAACTTACATATGTGAATAGTTTTTCTGCAATGAATTTACAGTTGACCCCCCCATAACACTTGATTTTTCCGTTTTATGTGAATTCTATGTTGTACGAGTCACTTAGATTTTACAAATACGTGAGCTGTTCACAGCCAGGCACACATATTTGTAAAATCTAAGTGACTCGTACAACATAGAATTCATATAAAACGGAAAAATCAACAGTGTTGTAGGGGGGGGTCGACTGTAGTAAAAATTAAAACAAACTGGCTAACACACACATTGAAACTAGCAGTGACTAATATTTAACCAAATATTTCCAAAATGTAAAACATATAAGTTCCAGAAGCTAAATTAAGTATACATATGCTAATTTATAATTATATATAAATAAATAATTGTGATTTACTGGCATTTTTTTTCTTTTCTCTTGTATGTGGCCTGCATCAGTTCAAAAGTTTTAAAATGCAGCCCTTACATAGGAAAAGGTTGCCCATCTCTGATCTACAGGATAAGAGCTTTAATTCGATAACTGAACCATGGTTTTTAGCCACAACTGTTTACTCAAACCAAGTTGGATAAACTGAAACGCTCTTTCAATTAATATATATATACAGTAGTGTCGATTATCTGAATCAATTGGGGACTGGGGTTGTTCGGAAGATCGATGTTTCGGATAACCGATTATGTATGAAAAATATATTAATTTATCCCATCTTGACATTTTTCTCCGTTGCGTGTCGCTTCGTGTTGAATTTTCGTCGATGTTAAGCCTAACGAAGACTATTGTATCGTTAAAAATTATTTTTTTATTTTGTACAAACAAAATAAATATATTGAAAAATATAAAAACAATAAAAAATATACTTCAGAAGTTAATTTAGTATCAAAAACGTAAAATATTTGAGTAGCCCAAGACAGCCAAAGATTGCAGCGCCACAGCACTGGCAAAAATTAAAATTTGCTGACTGGAATTCTTTCGGATGATTGACTTGGATAATCAACGCTCTACTGTATATAGTTGTCAATGTTCAATAAGGCCTATTTCTGTAACTTCAAAATTTTACTCTTAGATAATACAATTAAAGTTATAAAAAGAAAAAAATTATTTTGGATTAGATAGTAAATATTAATTGATCCAACAAAAAATATTGTTAAGTTTAAAATAAACTAGGGCAAAGTTCACAAAAACTTAATTTACAGAAATTTGTAATAATTTATTATCAGATATGTGGAATTTTGTATTCACAAAGCATTGTAAAAAAATCCTGAATAATCTTATATTTAATACCTTTACACTAGACAAAACTTCTAATCGAGACAGATTGTCATTAAATCTCTCTTAGACTTTAAACTGCTTATAGAATATTTTACTGAAAGATCTCATGCATTGTAATTTGTCATTGCCTTTTACAAAATATTTTAAAAACAGTTTGTCCATTTCTTTCAAAGTAAGATGACTTGACAGTATCAAAGTTGCCCAAGTCTTAGTTTGCTGTTATATTCAGGCAGTAGTTTACTCTAATAAGTATTATAATTCTAATGAAATAAATATATCAACAGTCTTTTCTTTTTTCTATATCAATCATGCAGATAGTGAAAAAATTCTAAATATGCATGACTACAAAACAATTAGCAATTTTGATTTAATATTACCAACTAGTGATGTCATCAGACGCATGCTATCTCACATTTACAACACACAATAAAGTGTTATGTTTAATAAATGTAAGTTTTTTGTAACTACAGTAGAGTGTCGATTTTCCGAAAGTCAATCATCCGAAAGAATTCCATTCGGCAAATTTAAATTTTTGCCAGTGCTATGGCACTTCAATCTTTGGCTATGTCTTGGGCTACTCAAATATTTTACGTTTTTGATACTAAATTAACATCTGAAGTATAATTTTTTATTGTTTTTATATTTTTCAATATATTTATTTTGTTTGTACAAAATAAAAAAATAATTTTTAACGATACAATAGTCTTTGTTAGGCTTAACATCGATGAAAATTCAACGCAAAGCAACACGCAACGGATAAAAATTTTAACATCGGATACGTTAAAGTATTTTTTCGTACATAAATCAGTTATCCGAACAACCCAAGTCCCCAATTGATTCGGAAAATCGACGCTCTACTGTATATTAGAGAGATACTGTGTGTTATCTTATAAATATTTGTGAATCTGATCCTAGTTTATGAACGTTTTCAAATCAGAAAAAATTATATACTAAAAAATATATATAATACAATGATCTATTAGACCCTCTTCTGTTAAATTTGTAAACAAGTAACTTTATACAGTAGTCCCGAAAACTCGGCCTAACGTGGACCGAAGGGTGGCAGGTTTGTGAAAATGCTGGGTTATCCGGGAATGGGGTTAAAAAAGTGTTTCTTCAACATACTGTACTGTACTTGTATGTATTGTTTGCTTGAGAATACAACGGAGAATAAACTGCCCAAACAAAGAAAAGTATGTACTTTATGAAGGCATAGAGGCTTTACTGCATGAAAATGAAAATTAATGAATACAGTGTACAGTAATTTACCTGATAAGTATTTTTCAGAGGTCTGTCTTATGAGGCATAAAGCTGTCTATAATGAAAATTAACTAGCCGACTTTGCAAAAACTGGCTACTTTTTTTTTTTAAAGAAATACATAATGTCCTGTTGTCTTCCGCAATGCACTCTGCATTTTGCTGCTTCATCACGAAGACGACATTGGAACAGTAAGTCCATTACCGATGCACCTTGTTCAAAATAGTGAAGGGCGGTTTCGACAGCCTTTAGTCCCTCACTATGTGATATTTTAGGAGCTTGTATGGTGGAGTCCTCAACATCGTCTTCATCATTTTCCGGCATTTTTTCATTAACTGACAGCACCAATAATTTCTGCATATAATGTCTTGCTTGGTATCAATTCTGGAACCATTGTTTGACGTCATTTTCATTGGCTTCTGCACATCCTGGAACTCTCTTCAGGAGGTTGAGTAAGTTTACATTTTCTGCATCATCATGTTCAACGAACTCATTTCCCTCATGATCAAGGAGTTTATGCCAGGAACGAACTAGTGTTAATGGCTCTAACTCGTTCCAGGCGTCCCCCACCCAGCCAACAACATCCAATAGGTTAATTTTCTTTAAGTTCTGGATAAGACCTTGACCATCATTGTTTGCAGAAAGAAGAATGGAAAACAGTTTGTGCCAGGTTATCGAGTGCCAAGTTTTCGGAACTCTAATGTACATAGAAATTTCTATTGTAATTTCTGATATAACACTATTTTATTGGTAGTGGTGTACTATGTGATGCTTTGTTAACTTAAATACGATGACTACGTTCAGCAGACTTGACAATTCTGGAGCGGTTGAATATTTTTCTGCTGAACACCCTCTATAGTAGCGCTCTTTTGGAATATGTTTGGTGTTTTTATGTCGCATTTGGTGGCATCTTTCATTTACACTACCTGCAGCTACCTGAAACTGACCAATGAGGCTTTTTGTTCCAATGCAATGTCTCATCGTTCAGCAGATCTAGGATTCTATGTAACAGCTACTGATTTGCTCAGTTACAACTGTTGAGTCTGCTGATTGCAGCCAATGTTACATAGTCTATTGTTATGCAGATTTAGAGATGATTTTGATGAAGATACTACAACAATCTTGGTTAGACCACTGTTGCACTAAAATTTTTGCTTGCATTTAAGTAAATAATGTTACATTCATAATTGTAACAGTGTTGTATAAGTTTTACTACATTGGTTTAATTATCACACACGCTATAAACAGTCAAAACTGCTAAAGAGGTCATCTTACTCTGTCAGACTTTCCTCAGTGCTATTTTGGGAAAAATAAGACTGAATGGTAAATGAGAGGTACTGTATATATTTTGAAAGGTCAATAATATCCATAGCTTTATTTGAATTTATTAACCTTAGCTTCATCCCAAAATATTCTAACCAACATTTTTTAGATCATGTATGTTTGTCCTTTCTCTTTTGCCTTTTAACAAGATTTACATTATTACTGGACTCAAATCTGAATATTATTATTTAACACTATTTCAATGGATCTTCAACAGATAGCTTCAATAATGTAATGCGACTGAAAGCAACAAGATTCATATCCTTGACAAATTTATAATTACTTATTTTGTCAAAAAAGGTTGTGCACTTACAAAAATGGCTCATTTTCCATACTTTTGAGACACAAAAGTTCACTATTACAACTAACGTTGGACATCTTTGTTGTTACATGTAATCTTGGGTCTTGGACCAATGTTGCACTCTAGCAAAAGGGAAATTCATTTCAGAAAAAAGATTATTGGTTCCAAAAAAAGTGTAGAATGTGAATTTGGTCTAACCCATTTTGTAGGAAGATAGTTTACATCAGTGATTGGCAACCTTTCTCACCTCACAGACCACTAAACTCACAATTTTGAATCCTGCAGACCATTACAAATTTTTTTAAACAATACAAAATCTGTAGAATAATGATCACAAAAGTTCAATTTTACTATATTAATATGAAACTCTCATGTTTAATTATAACAAATTAATGCAAGCCTAAAGTTCATTGCTGCTTGTTTGAAACAAGTTATGGATTCTTCGCACTTTTCCACGAAGGACAACAATCGCACTCACAATATTGTTTATTGTTCATTATTTATCGATAACAGTCACTTCATTTTTGGTTTTAGATTCGAATAAAAAACCCCAATGAGTGAAAAACCAACTAAGCATTTTGCATGTCTTTCGTAATACTTCGCATAACCTTAGGTTGATCAATGTTCAAATTTCTCTACTGACCACCAGCTGCCGACCGTTGGTTTACATCAAAAGGAACAAAATGATATCAATGTCTATAGTTAGACTACTGTTGTGCTGACCCCATCAATTGCAGATATCATTTGTTTATTAGTGAAATGAAATTTTCAAGAAATGTCAAGTGTTAGTTACTTTAATTCTGTTGAAGATAATGTGGAGATCAACT